GCCAAATTTTGCGAAATTTTCTCATATATACGACAGATTTTACTTCATACAGAGCAGTTAATTTACTTGGCACAGATATRAAAAAATAGCAATAATACATAAAGTAGTGGGAAATCTTAATTTCAAAGGGGCGGTAGTCAGTTCAAACAATTCATAATCAACCTTTCACTGTGATCAGAGTTTTAAGAAAGGGTTATCATTTGAGCCTGCAATGAGGATTTTGTTTTATGAATCATACAAGTGAGGCTATTGGGCTGATACAATGCTTCGGTTGTCTCATTTGCATCCATCCATCCAGAATATTTACTATTCTTAGATCTTCTCCGATCTAGAGCTAACAAAATTATTTATTTGTTGAGGYTGTGGGAAATTAGGACTGCAATAAAGGAGAGTGGGAATCATGTTATTAAAAATAATTATAAAAACATATTACACCCCCTTCCCCCCGTCCCCCAATTATATCCAATATAAAATTCCTTATACCCCTGATATTTGTGCTTTGTGGAAAATTCAGTAAACACCCTTCTGTCTTGATCGCATATTTTTTGACTAACCCCCTCTTTTTGTCTGTGAATCATATGGCAGGTCTCTGTCGACCACCCCAATGATGAATGGCTAAATGGCTCCTAACTGAAATTTTAAACTCAGTAAAGGTTAGTTAATGATATTTATGACCTAGATCTTATTTAAGTTGTGTTTCATTGTATATCTTTATTAATTTTTTTTTCATATGATTTAAAAAAATGATTACAACAAAAAAATGAATACAAAGAAATGAATACAAAACAAAAATGAATAAAAAAATATGAATATAAATTGAACGAAGAAAACAAAAAGATTGATTACAAATTTGCTAATAGTATTAATCCAGAATGGTGATCATATAAAGACCACCATATGTCCAGTTCCTTTATGGTAAATGCGGTCTTCTGGTCTTGAGCCAAACTACACAATAGGTTTGCCATCCTTGTCAGTTTTCAACTCACAGTGATTGTGATTAAAGGTGCAATGGCCAATCTTGGCAGCTTCCTCTGCATTGGCTTTGTAGATACACTGTGAATAGAAGAGCAAGTTTGAAATCAACATTTGGTTGAGTACAAAAATATTTTCATCTTGTGTGACGAAAGAAAGAGGGTGTTTGTATTCAGTAAGGAAGCTTTCGATGGTGTGTTAGGCTAGAACACAGGTAGAACAACTTGTAGGATTTCACCTTCCTTACATTCGATTCACGGTATTAATTGGCATTCAACTAAATTCAGCTACATAATGGAATATGTAACTGTGTCCAACTGCACAACGTTATATAGTTACATACGTTCGCAGTACAATGTGTCCGATGCTTATCAGACTATCATTTCCTGGTTGTTTGAAATCCATACAATACTTACTTCCAGAGCTTTGGTGTAATTTTGCTTACACTTGCACTGGTCGCGCATCTCCGCAAGTTTGGCCTTGAACTCTCCAACATCCTTTACTGCTTTGAATGGACATCCGTCCTTAAAGGATGGACAGCCCTTCCCAAGACCTTTCAGCTCAGCCACATTGTAAGGACAAGCCTTGCCCTTGTCAAAGGCTGGGCAGTATCCTTTGACGTAATCCATGGTGATTACATCAGGAATCTGTCAACAAAAATATACTTAGTCCTTGCTCAGACTTACAGAATGTTTTGCAATAAAAACTGCCCTTTTTTCACGAGGGTGGCACTTAATAGCCAGTGGCTAACAAACCTGTGGCCCTCATTCCGTGGTTGAATTGGAATTTAGGAGTTGATTTTAGCGGAGGGAAGAAAACCGGAGAACCCGGAAAACCCTCGAAACACAGGAGAGAACCAATAAACAGCTCTACTCATATACAACACTGAACCCGGCGGGACTCAAGCTTGGGTTGCATTGTTGAGAGGCGAGCGCTCACACTGCTACGTTGCCTGTGCTTCCCATAAAGGAAGGATCTAGGAGGACCTAATGCTCAGACATTGCCACATTCATGTTAATATGCAATAACAGATTACGTAGTTACGTATGTGATCAGTGCTCTGTTTAAAGAGCATTCGTCAAAGAAGTTGAAAAAGACGTAGACATCCTGAGGTTCGATTTACCTTGGATCTCTACCACCGAAAGCCACAAACTAACCAACTGAGCTAAGCCACTGAATGTCTTCAATTAGATGACATCACTGAAATATGAAGCATGCTCTATGCATTACACACAGGGATGCAGTGTAATACTTACAATGAACCTTCCATTGGTGTCGGTCTTGAGAAAGCAACCACCCTTGAAGAAAGGACAATGACCTTGCTTTGCAACTGCTTCACCATTAGCTGCGTATGCAAGCTGTAAGACAAAACAATTTAACATGAAGGCAAACTAAAGGGCTTAAAAGGGGTGCAGATAATGAGTAGTATTGAATGAAGCTGGTTTAATTCATCACACAAACAGCTCTCAGCACAATCCTTACATCCATAGCCTTGGTGTAGTTCTCTTTGCCCTTGCAATTATCCCTCATTTCTCCCATTTTGGCTTTGAACTCTCCCACATCCTTGACATTCTTGAATGGACATCCATCCTTGAATTCTGGGCAGCCTTTCCCGAGTCCTTTCAGTTCGGGGACATTGTAAGGACAAGCTTTGCCTTTGTTGAAGACTGGACAATGGTCCTCCACGTATTGCATGGTGACCAGCTCAGGAACCTAAAACAGACAGTTTATAAAGGAAGGATAAATATCTTAGGGAAGTTACTTCATGTATTTTTTTCGTCATACAAAAAAAGTTTCAGTAGTTTTCTAGACTGGTAAACATATGATCCTGACTTACGGTACATATTTTATACCTCGTAGCACTGAAAGAATGATTATCGTACGAGCAGAAAAAATATGGTGATGTCTCAGGGACTGCACGTACACATAGCAACATAGAATAGTGTAATCCAATCACTTTGCTTAATTGCGCTTACTGTAAAAACTCTAAAATTACAGAAAAACAACAAAGTTGCCATATATTTTTCACCAAGATAATCACTATTTATATCTGTACTCACAATTGGCTTTCCCTCGCGGTCGGTCTTGAATGGACAGTCAAACTTGAAGAATGGGCAATGGCCAATCTTTGCAGCTTGCTGACCATTGACGCCATAGACAACCTAAATAGACATTTTGATAAAACCTTGATTAAATTATTTCTCTATGATTTATGGTTCCATCTCTAGAAAATCTACTCTCAACTTCCCTCCCACCGACCTGCAGTTTTCTCTTCAAAAGCGTTCAACAATTTGAATCTAAAAAACATTTCCAAGAGCAATAAGTTATTCATGATTCCATCCGTCTCTTTCCTCTTATTATTACACCCTTTTCCCCTCTCAGCCCCCTCTCAAAAGTATCGAAAAACGTCTTGAGCGTTTTGGAATAAATACTAGAGTTAAAATTTGGACATGAATACCTTCAGGGCCTTCTCGTAGTTGGCCTTCCCTTTACACAGGTCCCTCATCTCCCCCAGCTTTCCCTCAAACTCGCCAACATCCTTGACTCCTTTGAAAGGACATCCATCTTTAAAGGCAGGGCAGCCTTTTGCAAGTCCTTTTAGTTCAGGCACATTGTACGGGCAGAACTTTCCTTTTTGGAATGCTGGGCAATGTTCTTTGATGTAGTCCATAGTGAACAACTCAGGCACCTATCATTGGAATTAATAAATATTGTTTATTGTTGAACTTTAGTCATCGTTGATTATGTCAAAGGAACTTTTCATTAGTATTCTTGACTCAAATTTCCTTGAATCAATTTTTCCCCTTTGAACTGCAAAAAGAAGGCTCATAAGAACTTTTTAAAAATTATCCACCCCCCCCCCTTTAGATTAATCCCGCATTTGCCCTTGTAGAATAAGATTCTCTGTTGGATCTATATCCGTATTCATGAGTCTGATGAGCCATTTTTGGGATGGGCTGGATTTTAAAAATCCCCCCCCCCCCCCCCCCCCCACTTTTTAAATGCTGTATCCACCCCTGTGGTTGTGCTATGCACCCAAAGAAGAAGTCAAATGAAAATACCCCAATAATTGAGATTTGTGCTATACAAATTCAATAAATTATTATTATTATTAAGTCACCGAAAGAATCATTTTCCGATATGGAACAATTCATTTAAATTACCCCATCTAACCTCGACTAGAAATGAGAATTTAACCAAAAATGGATTTTTAAAAATAATCATTTTTCGACAATTTGTAGCATTCCAGTAATAGACCTCTTCGGCTCTGGCGTAATATTTTCCCATTTCAGATCTCATGTCATTCCCTAGGGTATCATTTCTTTGTTTAAGGTTTGCGCTAGGTTGCACACGAGAAGACACATGAATATAGATACAGCTCAAACAAAGAATCTTATTCTCAAGAGAATGACACGTGACACTCGACGAAATAATGGATTTGGTCATCATATGTCCACTTGGCAAATGTTGTGCAAATATGGTGCTCTATATTTGCCCATACATTTGCCTATGCAGGCAAAGGTCGGGGTAAATTTCTAATAAATTTGCCATTGCTTTGCCATACATCTGAACACATGGGTAAATA